AATACAGACCTACTGCACAAATCAAGAGATGAAATCATACATTGTTTACATATTTGAAAAAGTACAGGTTAAGGTTCTAGCTCAGCCTCACAATGCCTTCCTCACAAATGCAAGGTCCTGAGTTCGATTCCTGGTACCAAAAAGTGCCAGGTGTGATGCTGCATGTCTATAATCCCAGCAATTAGGAGGCTGAAGTAGGAGGATTGCTGTGAGTTTGAGAACACTCTGGTCTCTATAGTGAGTTCAAGTCAACCTGAGCTAGCTAGAGTGAGACTCTGTTATTAAAAAAAAAAAAAAAAAAAAAAAGTGAGTGAACACAGCTAGTCAAAGCAGCAGTGCTGGGGAAGTGTTCTTTTTCTACAGTTTCCTTCTTGTGCAGCTAAATTCTACAGTGAAGTTCTTGTATATGGCATGTGGTTAAATATTTGGCTAAAATATAAATACCTTTAGGAATAGGCATATTAAATCTGTATACTGTTTTTTTTTTTTTTTTTTTTTTTTTTTTGAAGTGCAATTTATCAGTCTTTCAGAGGAAATATATGTTGACAAAGGGGGAAAAAAAATACAAATACCAAGGTGCATGTCTGGGGTGGGAGTGTTTTCCCCGGAGGAAAATCTTGAAGCCACTACACTGTTCGGCTCCAGGCTTACACTGAACAAGAGTGGTGCAGTTTAAGTGTTTTTCAGAGAGGAAAAAAAAAAAAATCAGAGTCACATAGGAATGGCTTAAGCTTAGTTTTGAGGTAAATGTTCACATTGGAATAGTTTCTTTTCCTTTTATTGGTGAATTTACTTTATCCAAAACACAGAGCAAATCCTTCGAAGCCAGCACTGAGGCATGTCCAGGATTATGATTTCCAAGTTGTGTAGCCATGATCTGGACATGCAGTGAGGAAAACACTGCACACTGGGACGCTGTGCCTCAGACATAGCTCTAACGCACGCGGACACACCCACGTGCACACACACAGCTAAGCCAAAGCTTTGCCAGATAGCGTGTGACCTGCACGCTATGCATACAGTATGATATTTTTTATTCTGTTCTGCTTTAGTCCAACTTGCTTTTTAAAATCTTCTGGTCATGACCCACTAAATTGATTTCATGACCTACTAATGAGGCGTGACCTACCATTCCTGAAACATGGCTGGAGGTGAGCTTTCCGAAGGCCATCACGTAGTCAGTGCCTGTCACCATGAAGAACAACGCCTCCTGGCTCCTGGCATTGCCTCGCAGATGTCCCTGAAACCTGTAGAGTTCTTGTCCTATCATTTTGTGAAAGTTTTGGCTTTTTATTTTTTCTTGTTTATTTGTTTATGTGTTTATTTTGCAATACTGTGAAGTAGACCTCAGCCTTTAAAAAAAAATATTTAAAATCTTTATTTATTTGGTATAGTGTCTCACTATGCTGCTCAGACTTGTAGTGATCCTCCTGTCTCAGCCTCCCGAGCACGGGGATTACAGGTGTGCACCACCATGCCTGGTCTCAGTGACTGGCTTGTCACGGGGCCAGCATGGCATGAGGTACTGGGTATCGAACCCGGGTCCTTGCACTTACCTGGCAGGCACCTAGACTGCCAAGCTATCTCCCAGCCCTAGCCTCAGTCTTATTTATTTATTTATTTATTTATTTATTTATTTTTTGTGGTACCAGGGATCAAATAGTGAGCTCTCCCTGGCCCAGCCTTTTTTATTTGGAGATGGGGTCTCATATTGTCCAGGCTGCACTTAAAGCTGTGATCCTCCTGCCTCATCCTCCAAATAACTGGGAATGCAGGCACGCACACTGACCTCAGTTTAAAGGTGTGGCTTTTAAATACCCTTGCGAGCATGCCCTCCTTTAGACTGTCTTTTTCTTATCTCCACGGCACCTTGCCCACCCGTGGCTAAGCCGGGAAGGACAGCTGACATCT